ACCCAAAGTGAGAGAGTAATTGGGGGTAGGGGACTTGAATGCTAAAGTAGGAAAAAACTTTTAGAGAGGGTGTGGTAGGTAAGTTTGGGGTCCCGGGTGTAAATGATAATGGGAGCCCTTTGATTGAACTTGTATAAAAAAGGGGGTTTTAGTTATAGGTAATACATATTTTAAGAAAAAGAGGATAAATAAGTATACACGATATGATGTAGGGCGAAATGACAGTAGTTTGTTGGATTATGTATTGGGAGATAAAAGACTGTTGAGTAGACTTTAGGATGTACATGTTTATAGAGGGGCCACAGATATATCAGATCACTTTCTAGTTGTAGCTACACTGAGAGTAAAAGGTAGATGGGATACAAGGAGAATAGAAGCATCAGGGAAGAGAGAGGTGAAGGTTTATAAACTAAAAGAGGAGGCAGTTAGGGTAAGATATAAACAGCTATTGGAGGATAGATGGGCTAATGAGAGCATAGGCAATGGGTCGAAGAGGTATGGGGTAGGTTTTAAAAATGTAGTGTTAGAGTGTTCAGCAGAAGTTTGTGGTTACAGGAAAGTGGGTGCAGGAGGGAAGAGGAGCGATTGGTGAATGATGATGTAAAGAGAGTAGTAAGGGAGAAAAAGTTAGCATATGAGAAGTTTTTTACAAAGTAGAAGTGATGCAAGGAGGGAAGAGTATATGGAGAAAAAGAGAGAAGTTAAGAGAGTGGTGAAGCAATGTAAAAAGAGAGCAAATGAGGAGAGTGGGTGAGATGTTATCAACAAATTTTGTTGAAAATAAGAAAAAGTTTTGGAGTGAGATTAATAAGTTAAGAAAGCCTAGAGAACAAATGGATTTGTCAGTTAAAAATAGGAGAGGAGAGTTATTAAATGGAGAGTTAGAGGTATTGGGAAGATGAAGGAATATTTTGAGGAATTGTTAAATGTTGATGAAGATAGGGAAGCTGTGATTTCGTGTATAGGCAAGGAGGAATAACATCTTGTAGGAGTGAGGAAGAGCCAGTTGTGAGTGTGGGGGAAGTTCGTGAGGCAGTAGGCAAAATGAAAGGGGGTAAGGCAGCCGGGATTGATGGATAAAGATAGAAATGTTAAAAGCAGGTGGGGATATAGTTTTGGAGTGGTTGGTGCAATTATTTAATAAATGTATGGAAGAGGGTAAGGTACCTAGGGATTGGCAGAGAGCATGCATAGTTCCTTTGTATAAAGGCAAAGGGGATAAAAGAGAGTGCAAAAATTATAGGGGGATAAGTCTGTTGAGTGTACCTGGTAAAGTGTATGGTAGAGTTATAATTGAAAGAATTAAGAGTAAGACGGAGAATAGGATAGCAGATGAACAAGGAGGCTTTAGGAAAGGTAGGGGGTGTGTGGACCAGGTGTTTACAGTGAACATATAAGTGAACAGTATTTAGATAAGGCTAAAGAGGTCTTTGTGGCATTTATGGATTTGGAAAAGGCATATGACAGGGTGGATAGGGGGGCAATGTGGCAGATGTTGCAAGTGTATGGTGTAGGAGGTAGGTTACTGAAAGCAGTGAAGAGTTTTTACGAGGATAGTGAGGCTCAAGTTAGAGTATGTAGGAAAGAAGGAAATTTTTTCCCAGTAAAGGTAGGCCTTAGACAAGGATGTGTGATGTCACCGTGGTTGTTTAATATATTTATAGATGGGGTTGTAAGAGAAGTAAATGCGAGGGTCTTGGCAAGAGGCGTGGAGTTAAAAGACAAAGAATCACACACAAAGTGGGAGTTGTCACAGCTGCTCTTTGCTGATGACACTGTGCTCTTGGGAGATTCTGAAGAGAAGTTGCAGAGATTGGTGGATGAATTTGGTAGGGTGTGCAAAAGAAGAAAATTAAAGGTGAATACAGGAAAGAGTAAGTTATGAGGATAACAAAAAGATTAGGTGATGAAAGATTGAATATCAGATTGGAGGGAGAGAGTATGGAGGAGGTGAATGTATTCAGATATTTGGGAGTGGACGTGTCAGCGGATGGGTCTATGAAAGATGAGGTGAATCATAGAATTGATGAGGGAAAAAGAGTGAGTGGTGCACTTAGGAGTCTGTGGAGACAAAGAACTTTGTCCTTGGAGGCAAAGAGGGGAATGTATGAGAGTATAGTTTTACCAACGCTCTTATATGGGTGTGAAGCATGGGTGATGAATGTTGCAGCGAGGAGAAGGCTGGAGGCAGTGGAGATGTCTGTCTGAGGGCAATGTGTGGTGTGAATATAATGCAGAGAATTCGTAGTTTGGAAGTTAGGAGGAGGTGCGGGATTACCAAAACTGTTGTCCAGAGGGCTGAGGAAGGGTTGTTGAGGTGGTTCGGACATGTAGAGAGAATGGAGCGAAACAGAATGACTTCAAGAGTGTATCAGTCTGTAGTGGAAGGAAGGCGGGGTAGGGGTCGGCCTAGGAAGGGTTGGAGGGAGGGGGGTAAAGGAGGTTTTGTGTGCGAGGGGCTTGGACTTCCAGCAGGCATGCGTGAGCGTGTTTGATAGGAGTGAATGGAGACAAATGGTTTTTAATACTTGACGTGCTGTTGGAGTGTGAGCAAAGTAACATTTATGAAGGGATTCAGGGAAACCGGCAGGCCGGACTTGAGTCCTGGAGATGGGAAGTACAGTGCCTGCACTCTGAAGGAGGGTGTTAATGTTGCAGTTTAAAAACTGTAGTGTAAAGCACCCTTCTGGCAAGACAGTGATGGAGTGAATGATGGTGAAAGTTTTTCTTTTTCGGGCCACCCTGCCTTGGTGGGAATCGGCCGGTGTGATAATAAAAAAAAAATAAAAACTTAAGCATGAAAAAACCATCACAAATCAATATGCAGTCCTAGTGTACACACATTCATGTGCATGCATTGAGACAGTAAGTAGAAAGAGAACATGGCCAGTCAGGTCCAGTTCATATACATACTGTACATGACTCATATAAGTGATAGTGTCCTGCAGATATTCAATTGCAGATACATTGACATTCATCAAAAACAAAAAACTGAAGAACCATTTAGTACACAAAGATAAATAATGGAAATCATGGACCCCAGTGAAAATAAGTCACCTGTCTGATTTTTCTGGGTTATCCTAGGTAATTTACACACGTTACTATTATAATTTGTGTAACTGTATTTATGTGTACCTGTACCTAAATAAACTTACTAATTTGAAACCCTAAGCAATGATGTAAGAACAGAAGGAAATAGCCTTGTTTGCCATAAAACACAGTAAATAAAATTTCTTCTTTCAACAAACCAGCCATATCCCACTGAGGCAGAGTGGCCCAAAAAAGAAAAATGAAAGTTTCTTTTTAAATTTAAAAACATATACAGGAGAAGGGGTTACTAGCCCCTTGTTCCCGGCATTTTAGTCGCCTCTTACAACACACAAGGTTTATAAAGGAAGAATTCTGTTTCACCTCCCCATGAAGTAAATAATTTTTTTTAATACGTCAGCCATTTCCCACTGAGGCAGGATGACCCAAAAAGAAAAAAGAAAAAACTCATCAAAATTCAACACTGTCATCACCATTCATATATAATCACTGTCTTTGCAGAGGTGCTCAGATATGACAGTTTAGACATCACTCCAAACTGCTAATATCCCAAACCCCTTCTTTAAAGTGCAAGCACTGTACTTCCCATTTCCAGAACTCAAGTCTGGCTAACCGGTTTCCCTGAATCCCTTCAAAAACATTACCCTGCTCACTTTCCAACAGCTTGTCAGAAATAAAATTTATATTAATATATTTACAGAGGGGGTTGTAAGAGAAGTAAATGCGAGGGTCTTGGCAAGAGGCGTGGAGTTAAAAGATAAAGAATCACACATAAAGTGGGAGTTGTCACAGATGCTCTTTGCTGATGACACTGTGCTCTTGGGAGATTCTGAAGAGAAGTTGCAGAGATTGGTGGATGAATTTGGTAGGGTATGCAAAAGAAGAAAATTAAAAGTGAATACAGGAAAGAGTAAGGTTATGAGGATAACAAAAAGATTAGGTGATGAAAGATTGGATATCAGATTGGAGGGAGAGAGTATGGAGGAGGTGAATGTATTCAGATATTTGGGAGTGGACGTGTCAGCGGATGGGTCTATGAAAGATGAGGTGAATCATAGAATTGATGAGGGGAAAAGGGTGAGTGGTGCACTTAGGAGTCTGTGGAGACAAAGAACTTTGTCCTTGGAGGCAAAGAGGGGAATGTATGAGAGTATAGTTTTACCAACGCTCTTATATGGGTGTGAAGCATGGGTGATGAATGTTGCAGCGAGGAGAAGGCTGGAGGCAGTGGAGATGTCATGTCTGAGGGCAATGTGTGGTGTGAATATAATGCAGAGAATTCGTAGTTTGGAAGTTAGGAGGAGGTGCAGGATTACCAAAAACTGTTGTCCAGAGGGCTAAGGAAGGGTTGTTGAGGTGGTTCGGACATGTAGAGAGAATGGAGCGAAACAGAGTGACTTCAAGAGTGTATCAGTCTGTAGTGGAAGGAAGGTGGGGTAGGGGTCGGCCTAGGAAAGGTTGGAGGGAGGGGGTAAAGGAGGTTTTGTGTGCGAGGGGCTTGGACTTCCAGCAGGCATGCGTGAGCGTGTTTGATAGGAGTGAATGGAGACAAATGGTTTTTAATACTTGACGTGCTGTTGGAGTGTGAGCAAAGTAACATTTATGAAGGGGTTCAGGGAAACCGGCAGGCCGGACTCGAGTCCTAGAGATGGGAAGTACAGTGCCTGCACTCTGAAGGAGGGGTGTTAATGTTGCAGTTTAAAAACTGTAGTGTAAAGCACCCTTCTGGCAAGACAGTGATGGAGTGAATGATGGTGAAAGTTTTTCTTTTTTGGGCCACCCTGCCTTGGTGGGAATCGGCCAGTGTGATAATAAAAAAAAATTTTTTTATTAAATTTATAAACCATATTAAGTAGTATATCAAAACCTGTACTGTTCAAAACTGTACTATTCAACATATTGCTGTACTTTTCCCATCCCAAAAATTGGATTTACACTCTTAGAGAACTCACCTGATAGGCTCAGTAATTCCTGAGCCTTCTTTGCCAAGCCCTCCTCCTGTCCAGCCCATCATCTTCAGCAGTTTGCTACCCAGTGAACCATCATCTATGGGCTTATCTAAGGAGGCATTTATGCCTTCCACACCTGTGTACTGTGTTGTGTCACTTGTAACATTCGCAAAAGGCACCTTTTTTCCTGATGCATGTATTTGCAAAACCTGTGAACAAGTGATATATTAGTATACTATATAAAAGGATTACAGTGAATGGATGTCCTAGTTCTAAGCAAAACAAAGCTGAAGAGATTAGATTTTTAGTGGGGAGAAATAAATGGAATTAGGTTAGCTGTATTCAAGAGAATTACAGTCAAAGAGTGAGTAGTGGTAACTATGAAAAAGAGGGAATATAAATGTATAAATTGAAGGATTGTGGAGATCAAAATAAGGGTGGAATGCAAAAAGTGGATTATATAAAGTTTTTTTTGCACCTGGGAAAGAGATAAACATAGAGAAGAGAAATTTTGGGAGATGATTCTTTTTCTGTCTCATAAACACGCTAGATAACAGGGATATCTTGCAACTCCTACTTACACTTTGGTCACACTTCACAGACACACACATGCATATATATATACATACATCTAGGTTTTCTCCTTTTTCTAAATAGCTCTTGTTCTTCTTTATTTCTTCTATTGTCCATGGGGAAGTGGAAAAGAATCTTTCCTCCGTAAGCCATGCGTGTCGTATGAGGCGACTAAAATGCCGGGAGCAATGGGCTAGTAACCCCTTCTCCTGTAGACATTTACTAAAAATTTATGAACCAGCTGAGTTTTGCAACAATTCAGTGGGGACATGTCGATATTAACGTACAGTAAACCCATGTGAAAACAAACTAATAGAGGAGAGTAGGCGGCCAGTGACAGCACTGTTGTGTATAGAGATGAAGTCGTTTTGCAAGATTGTAAAAATAACAAACAATCTTGTAACTAACAGATTTCGTCCATTGTTTCAATATCCGGTGACAAAGTGAATTTCATCCCTCGTTTCCTGAAGGTCATTTAATTTAGGCACAATAAATAGAGGGTCTACTCTACTCCACAAACTGGATGTATGGTAAGAACTATCAACAAAGATGTGGTGTCAGCAAGGTTTCACTGGGACATGTTTCACTGTGTAGAGCTTTATCAAGTCAACTTCTTGTCCTAACATAAAGTTGTGTAAAGCTTTATCATCTTGTCCTAATATAATGGTGTGCAGAGCTTCATCAAGCCATCTTGTCCTAACATAACATTGTGCAGAGCTTTATCAAGTCATCTTTTTGTTCTAATATAAGCTTGTTCAGCAATTGTCAGCAGTCCTTCCAGTGGTGTTAAACATGCAGTGTGCTGTTTGTCTTAAACTAAAAAGCTAGCCTAAAACACAACTAAAAAATAATGCTGAAAAAACTGACCTCGAGACAACTAATACCTTCAACCCTTTCAGAGTTGTTTACGCACTAGTACGCGTAAATTCTAGCGCCTTCAAATCTAGCGAGAGAAAGTTGGTAGGCCTACATATGAAAGAATGGGTCTATGTGGTCAGTGTGCGCAGTACAAAAAAAAATCCTGCAGCATACAGTGTGTAATGAGAAAAAAAAATTTGACCGTGTTTTTGGTTTAAAACAGCAATTTTGCACTGTATTTTCATATGGTATTTATGGTTGTATTCTAGTTTTCCTGGTCTCATTTTATAGAATGGAAGACATATTACAGAAATTGAGATGATTTTGATTGGTTTTACAATGAAAAGTACCTTGAAATTGAGCTCAAAGTAGCAGAAATGTTTGATTTTTGCCAAAGTTCAAAAGTAAACAAATCATGCCACGTGTCCAATACATGTCAACTGGTGAGTCTAATATTCTTTCACAAGTGCGCTGATACATGTATTATTTAGACCATTTCTACACTAATGCAGTAGTCTGTATAACAGTAAATCTTCTATTTTTTTGTGAGAATAAAAATTCAAAGTGGAAAGCAAAAGAAATATAAGAGGGGCCTGGGGATGTGACTAATGAAGAGAGGAAATGCTATTTTAGTACCAGGAATGTCTGTCTTGTTTATTCTGGTCCCTATTTGGAAATTGGCATCTTTTTAAATTTGTGTGAAATTAGCAAAATTGCAAATTTCTGACCACTTTATTGGATAGTTGAAATCGGTAAATGGGTGGTTTCTTGTACTCTTTCGATAGAAAAAATGGAGTTCTAACAAAATAATTATGATTTCTGTCAACTAGTACACTGGAATTGGCCAAAAATAGGGCTCAAATTGGGTGAAATCGCTGATTCGTAAACATCGTCGAGACCGTTAACTTCGCGAGAGCATAATTCCGTAAGCTTTCCATCAAATTTCATACTTTTGGTGTCATTATGATCGGGAAAAGATTCTCTATCTTTTCATAAGAAAATTTTTTTTTTCCAAAAAATTTTCAACCCTGAGAACAAGTTTAGGAGAGGGCCTTTCGACCCTGAAAGGGTTAACTAACATTTAACTAACATTAAATACTAACATACACACACATTGCTAGCTCACCAGTATACATCTATATATGCTATGAAGGTTTTTCCTTGTGCTATTCAATTTTTGAAGTGCCTTTTCAATCACACTTATGAAAAATTGCACTATAAAGACGAGCTTTATACATGAGCTGACAGTGTCATGCATTAACTTTCTTGACTATTATTTCCATGTATTAAAGAATCTTTAAAGGAGGGGTTTGGGATATTTGCTGTTTAGGGTGATATCTAAACTGTAGTAACCATGTACCTCTGCGAAGACAGTGATAGTGTGAATGAGACTGAAAGCGTTTCTTTTTATTTTTGGGGTCACTTTGCCTCAGTGATGGCAGCATTAAAAAAATAGTTTGATCTATCAACCTAATGACTAGTCCATAAACTAATTCAAGTTTATGTGTACCATGCATGCTCTCCCCACCAAAGAAAAAAAAAATAAAACCTGCCCTACCTTGCTCTGCCCTAGCCTGCCATGCCCTGCATCCCTTCTTTTTTTTTTTGTCTGCCTGCTGCCCTATCTTACTTGCCTGGCCTGCCTTACCTTGCTCTGCCTTACCCTATCTGCTCTGGCCTGGCACTACCCATCTTCTGTGGCCTGCCTTATTTGTCCTGTCATGCCTGCCCTGCTCTGTCGTGCCTGCCTCGCCCTGTCATGCCTGCCCTGCTCTGCTGTGCCTGCCGTGCCCTATTGTGCCTGCCCTGCCATGTCTGTCTTGTCCTGCCCTGGCCTGCATTGCCTAGTCTGCCTTGCCCTAACAGTCCTGGCTTGACCTTACATGCTCTGCCCAGCCCTGCCTGGACTGCCCTATCCTGTCCTATCTTTCCTGCCCTGATCTGCCTTCGATCACTGAACCAAAAACCTTGGGTAGCTTTATAGATTTTGAACAAATATTTGAGTAAGAGAGGTTGGATTTGAGTAGGACCTACCTAACATCTAGCATGGGCCAGTAGGTCCTACCTAGTATGGGCCAGTAGGCCTACTTCAGTGTTCCTCTGGCCTTGTCATATAATGGTTTGATGTGAGTAAGTCCTGCCTAGCATGGGCTAGTGGGACTTGCATGGTTCCTTTATTTTTGTTTATCAATTGTCACATTTTCATTTTCTCCCTTCCCTTCACCTCCTGAAGTTTTGACTAGAATATATTTTGAATTAGAACCATTTGGCCTCTTTTAGAGTCCCTCAAAGACTAGGATAGACTTATCCATGAGATATATGAAAAACTAATGATTTTCTGGCAAAATAACACACAGTCGGGTTCTACTCAGATATATATGGTAAGTTCTCGACTTACAAACACGTTGAGAATCCTCTGTATTGTGTATACTATCATTATTATATTATTGTGTATAATATTATTATATTATTGTGTATATTATTATTATATCATTAGGTTGGTAGACAGTAGGTTGGTAGACAGCAACCACCCAGGGAAGTACTACCGTCCTGCCAGATGACTGTGAAACAAAAACCTGTAACTGTTTTGCATGATGGTAGGATTGCTGGTTTCTTTTTCTGTCTCATAAACACGCTAAGATAACAGGGATATCTTGCTACTCCTACTTACACTTTGGTCACACTTCACAGACACGCACATGCATATATATATATATACATACATCTAGGTTTTTCTCCTTTTTCTAAATAGCTCTTGTTCTTTTTTATTTCTTCTATTGTCCATGGGGAAGTGGAAAAGAATCTTTCCTCCGTAAGCCATGCGTGTCATATGAGGCGACTAAAATGCCGGAGCAATGGGCTAGTAACCCCTTCTCCTGTATACAATTACTAAAAAAGAGAAGAAGAAAAACTTTATAAAACTGGGTTGCTTAAATGTGCGTGGATGTAGTGCGGATGACAAGAAACAGATGATTGCTGATGTTATGATGAAAAGAAGTTGGATGTCCTGGCCCTAAGCGAAACAAAGCTGAAGGGGGTAGGAGAGTTTCAGTGGGGGGAAATAAATGGGATTAAATCTGGAGTATCTGAGAGAGTTAGAGCAAAGGAAGGGGTAGCAGTAATGTTAAATGATCAGTTATGGAAGGAGAAAAGAGAATATGAATGTGTAAATTCAAGAATTATGTGGATTAAAGTAAAGGTTGGATGCGAGAAGTGGGTCATAATAAGCGTGTATGCACCTGGAGAAGAGAGGAATGCAGGGAGAGAGAGAGATTTTGGGAGATGTTAAGTGAATGTATAGGAGCCTTTGAACCAAGTGAGAGAGTAATTGTGGTAGGGGACTTGAATGCTAAAGTAGGAGAAACTTTTAGAGAGGTGTGGTAGGTAAGTTTGGGGTGCCAGGTGTAAATGATAATGGGAGCCCTTTGATTGAACTTTGTATAGAAAGGGGTTTAGTTATAGGTAATACATATTTAAGAAAAAGAGGATAAATAAGTATACACGATATGATGTAGGGCGAAATGACAGTAGTTTGTTGGATTATGTATTGGTAGATAAAAGACTGTTGAGTAGACTTCAGGATGTACATGTTTATAGAGGGGCCACAGATATATCAGATCACTTTCTAGTTGTAGCTACACTGAGAGTAAAAGTAGATGGGATACAAGGAGAATAGAAGCATCAGGGAAGAGAGAGGTGAAGGTTTATAAACTAAAAGAGGAGGCAGTTAGGGTAAGATATAAACAGCTATTGGAGGATAGATGGGCTAATGAGAGCA